CCCCCCCCCCCCTGGTTTCTCTGGCGCGTCATAAAACCTAGTCCTACACCGTTCACCTGGCGGTGTTCCAGTGACCGCAGGGTATCCGGCACGACTCCGAGACGTGCTGAGGCTTCCACCTGGTGAGCCGCAGCCTCGAGAACGCCTCCGCCCACAAGCTCCCCTCGCCGGGCTCCCTCCACAGCCCGTCCGAGGCCGAGGGCCCCATCCACACCAAGCTAACCCTATCTGCGTCGCCCCCTCCCGTAGGCGTTGTTGCTACCAAGGCCCTTGCGTCCGCCGCGGCACCGCCGGCGGCGGCGACGCTCTCGTCGCCGGTGGCGAGGCTGTCGAGTCGTCTACTCCTGGCTCGTATTCTTTGGCCGATTTGTTTGACGTCGGTGGAGCTGGCGCGGCTCCCAAGACCATCCCCTTCCTCCGCCTGGTCCTCGTCCTTTTCCGCCGAGGTGGCAGCGGAGGGATCGCTGCGACCGTCGGCCACATCACCGCCGTCGTCATCAGCACTCCCTCTTAGACCTGCCGCACGTCCCCCAGCACCCCCACCTTCAGTCTCGTTGCTATCGCCGCCCCCGTCATCATCCGCACTCCCCCTCAGACCAGCCGCGGCGCCGCCACCACCGCTACCACCACCCTGTCCTGCCTCCCCCAGCTCATCGTCCGCGTCGTCGCTAGCGCGGACCCCCACTCCGACAACCCCTTCACCGCCTTCCCCCTTGTCATCATCGGGACGCTTCTCGCCGACCCTAACCCCTGCATCATCGTCGTCCTCCGACCTCTCCTCGAGGCCCTCTCCCTCCGCCCCTATCCCCGCCTCCGCCAGCACCCCGATGAACTCCTTCGCCGCCGCGTGTGCCAGAATTTCCGGTTCCCCTGTCTCGTCGTCCCCTGTCGCTGACGCCGCCACCGCCAGCGGTAGGCCCTGCCCCTCCCTGTCCTCATCCGCCGTCCCGGCTTTCCCCCCCGTCTTGTCATCCCGGCTGCCTCTTTTGACGCCTTCGCTGTTGCCCTTGCTTGTTGCGGGCTCTCCCAGGTCGTCATCGTCGTCCTCGCTCGAGGGCGAAAGAAGGTCCTTGCGGGCCTCCATCGAGCTAACTTGCCGGCCTGGCAGTGTAGCAAGGAAAAACGTGCGCGTCTGTACTGTTAGAATCGACCGCGCTAATAGCCGGCTGACCGAACAAAATATGTCGGTCTTGCGTGTGTCCTTCGTGCGTGTGTATGTGTTTGTGTTTCTATATGTAGCATCGACCGCGTCAACCGGCTGACCCGTAAAACTGTGTGAGTCTGTGTTTTATGAGCATCGACCGTGCTGACCGGTTGACCGATAAAACGAAATCAGTCTCGTGTGTGCCTGCGTGTGTTCGTCTTCATTCTGAGCAGAGACCGCGCTAACCGGCATACCAACAATAAGACGCCAATCTCAGTTCGGCTAAAAACATGGAAAAATGCTTCCGAAGACCATGACCTGGGACCCCGTGAGTGGGCTTCATGGGGCAGGCAAAGGTGCAAGTGTATGCACAGCAGTGTGCGTGTGGAACACCAACATCTTGGTTAAGATTGCAGTGGTCCCAGTACAAGGCTGTATATTGCCGAAGTATTCAGCCGGTCTTTTACCGGGCATACCGCACTTGACTTTCATCCATGTCCCGCCAAATCACCGGCCAAACACCGAGCGACTGGCCTTGTTTAAACTGACGTATCCTGACAAACACCCTCGTCAGAATGATAATCGGAATCACCGTCAGAATCATCATCGTCCGAATCTGTACAATATCTGGTTTGGGCATGACTTACAAGGGCTTTTTGG